AAAAAAAAAAAAAAAAATTTGTTTTTACAACATGATACAATTGAGGAAATGCTAGTTATATTGCCAAGGCTTTGAATGGAATTGCATATTTTCAGATATGACCAGACAATTTTTGAAACTAAGGTTGACTTTACAAAGCAAATAAAGTCCCTTGGGGAAAAAATGCCAGGTACTTTGAATACATGGGTTTATGGCTGCCTTACCAAGTGAGAAAGGAATGTCACTTCCTGTCAGGCCCAGGAACCTCAGGATATTTTGGGGATCTTGAGAAGAAAGGAAGTTGGGTGGTGCCTGTGGTTCAGTGGGTAGGGCGCCAGCCCCGTATACCAAGGGTGGCAGATTCAAACCCAGCCCCGGCCAAACTGCAACAAAAGAATAGCCAGGCGTCGTGGTGAGCACCTGTAGCCCTAGCTACTTGGGAGGCTGAGCCAAGAGAACCTCCTAAGCCCAGGAGTTGGAGGTTGCTGTGAGCTGTGTGATGCTACGGCACTCAACTGAGTGCGATAAAATAAGACTCTGTCTCTACAAACAAAAGAAAAGAAAGGAAGTCATCAAACCTATAGGTATTGCAGGCAAAGTATGACGGGAAGGCCTGGTTTTTTTCCCCTGCCTGGAGAGGCTTTTAAAATACTATCTGAGATTCCTTGCTACACTTGATCTTGGCCAAAAGGCCGAGAAGTGATGAGATTCCTTGCTATTTTTATTTTTAATTTTTTTAGGCAAGCATGAAACAAAGTTTATTGAGGAAGAGAAAGATAGGCTTACAGAGTAAGAAAACTTACAGAGCAAGATACATTCAACTACGCCTCATTGCCAGGGCAAGTAGGCAAAGAGGCCTGAGATTCCTTATTAAAAGTCTCAGCAAGATCTTCCATCTGACCCTATAATCCCATTACTAGGTATTTACCCAGAAGAAAAGAATCATTTTACCATAAGGACACTCACATTAGAATGCTCATCGTAGCTCAGTTCATAATCGCCAAGATGTAGAATCAACCAAATTTACCCATGACAGGATTAACAAACTCTTGTACATGTATACACGTAGAATACTATTCAGCCATACAAAGA